GTGGCTGGTGCCTTAGCCACTTGAGCCACAGGTGCCAAGCCAATTTCCTGGTTTTGATATTGTTTTACATCTACAGAAAATGTCACTATTCAAGAAAGCTAGATAAAAGGCATGAGGTCTTTTTTGGACTGTTTTTTTCATTTTCCTGTGAGTCTATACTTATTTTAAAATAAAATGTTAAAGAAAATGAGACCAAGGAGAGGTTTCAGAAATGATTGGAAGAAACAGGCTCTGTAAATGAGTAGGCTCAATCCAATCTGGAACAAAAAGTCTCTGTGTGGCTTAAGTCTCTATATTTCTGTCACTCTTTCAAATAATTATGTGTTTCATTGTATTATACAAGTAATACTTATACATAAGGATATACACACATATATAGGGAGTGTAGGGGAAAACTTACCCTTTACCCTGGAAAGGTTCACCGAAAAAATCCACTCACAATAAAGCAGATTAGTAAGGGAAAAGATATACAAATTACATTGTTACCTTGCACTTGGAGGGGGGAGTGATTACACAATATTCTAATGATTCCCGAATACTTACACATTCTCATTTTAGAAAAGAGAGTGGAGATGGTGACTATTAAGGAAGGAGAAATAAATCTTATATTTCTTAGTGATCCTGAGAAAGCAGCAGGCAGCTGCCGAAGAAATCCTCTAAAGCACAAACTTTACACTGAGCTGAAATAACTTTGCAAAGAAAAAGAAAAAAGACTCTGTAACTAATAATAATACCCTGGTTTCTAACATCTGTAGCCATAACTGTGCAGCTGACATTGAACTGAAGGGAAAAAATTGGTATAAAAAAGCCTGGGAAAAAATCGTTCCTAGGAACTCAACATTTCACACCTTGAGGCACCTGAGTTCTCACCCACAATTAAAGGTTCTTTCCTCTATACTGTTGGTGTGTTTGTTTTAATTTGCCTTTTTTCTGAAACACTGTAAGTAATTCTGTTGAGTGGCAAGTAAATGGTTACTAGGGAGGATGAATAGATACTTGGGAGAATGAATGAATGGGAGATTGACAGATTGACTTGTAAATAATTTTCTTTGGAGATTAAATTAACCTGAGAGACAGGCATTATTTTGAAGAAGGCCTGGGCGTGTCTGGTTATATTCCTGATCGTCTTTCCAGAAATAGAAAATGAGATAATCCAGAGGAGAAGAAAAGAAAATTGTTCTTCTTGAAGTTTCCCTGGTCTTTATGAAGATTGAGAGAAAGGCGCAGTGCCTATGGCTCAAGGAGTAGGGCGCTGGCCCCATATACCAGGGGTGGTGGGTTCAAGCCTGACCCTGGCCAAAAACTGCCAAAAAAAAGATTGAGATAAAGCCCCTTCCCAAGCCAATTGATGTCTTAGGGCCTTTAATTTAAAATACACCTTACACCAATTAGTCAAATTTTGAGTCATCTGCACTTCATCAGAAGTACAAATGTAAGTCTTCCTTCCTACTGCCTTAACCAGAACAAAGTTGAGCAATCTGATACACTTGCCCTGACATTTGTATATGCATTTATACCCATAGATGGCTGTGTTGTTGATAAAATCATATCACACCATAACTTAGTGGCTCTAAAACTGGCTATTTTTTTTATTTGACCTGCAAGGTAGGTCAATTACCCAGTGTATGTGTCACTCTGCTGGGTTCTTTAAAAAGTTCCACAGGAGGCTCAGTGCCTGTGACTCAGTGGCTGGGGCACTGGCCACATGCACCGGAGCTGGCAGGTTCGAATCCAGCCCCGGCCTGCCAAATAACAATGACAAATACAACCAAAAAATAGCCAGGTGTTGTGGCAGGCGCCTGTAGCCCCAGTTACTTGGGAGGCTGAGGCAAGAGAATTGCTCGGGCCCAAGAGTTTAAGGTTGCTATGAGCTGTGACACCACAGCAGTCTATCCAGGGTGACAGCTTGAGACTCTGTCTCAATAAAAAAAAAAAAGTTCCACAGGATACTGTAGAGATGTTTAAATGCACTAGAAGACTGCAAACAGGCATTAGAGAAGGCCTAAGCTTGTGAAAACTGGGATGGGATTATGATGAACCTGCTTCTTGGCAGACAGTTGTTTTTAAAGTCATGACCATAACAAAGTGAAAAAACACAATTGGGTTTGGATTAGTTTCCTTTAATGAAGATTATATATATATATTTTGAGACAGTGTCTCTGTTGTTCAAGCTAGAATGAGGTGGCATCAGCCAACTCCCATCAACTATAGACTTGTGGCATCTAGCGACCTTCTAGCCTCAGCCTCCCAGTAGCTGGGACTATGGGCATGGCCAAAGTGCAGGTCTAGTTTTTCTATTTTTGGTGGGGGGGGGGTTCTCACTTTTGCTCAGGTGGGTCTTGAACTGCTGAGCTCGAGAGATCCTCCTGCCTCGGCCTCCCAGAGTGTTAGGATTACAAGCATTAGCCACCACACCTGACCTAATGAATATTAAATAAAACCACCAAAGGGATTTTAAGTACACAAACAAAAAACAGGCCTAAACAAGTGCAAATGAAAACACCATACCACCTGTGCAGCAACCAAAGCAAGCAATAGATTCATTATTGCCAAGTCATGGAAGAAACCCAAGTGCCCATTACCTGTCAATGGGTTAATAAATTGTGGTATATGTATACCATGGAATACTATGCAGCATTAAAAAAATGAAGACTTTACCTCTTTTATGTTTACATGGATGGAGGTGGAAAATAGTCTTCTCAGTAAAGTATCTCAGGAATGGAAAAAAATATATCCAATGTACTCAGTACTACTGTGAAACCAATTTATAATCACTCACACTTGTATATGAAAAATGAAACACAACTATAGCCTAGGGAAGGGAAGGGTGAGGGGAAGGGAAGGGGGTGGGTTGGTAGAGGGAGGGTCTGTAGGGGGGCCACACCTATGGACCATATTGCAAGTACAAGTTGGATCTTTCAGGTGTAGAGCATAAATGTCTTAATCCTGTAATTGGGTAAAAGTGGTGAAGGCTATGTTGTTTAGTAGGACGTAAGCATTCCAATTTGTACAAATGATCAACACATTGAATCTTATAATGGCATAAATGTATTTATGATCTATGTACGAAAGACTTAATAAAAAATAAAGTAAAAAAAGAATGAAAAAAGAATGCTTAGAAAGAGAAGGACAATGGGAAAATTTGCCAATAAACATACACGACTAACAAACCAGAAAGGTAAAAAAATACACACACGTGGGTTTGCAGGCATTCCATTAGTTACTGAACTATGCAAATTAAAGAAAGGTACAAAGGGTTGGTTAGCCGGGGAGAGACCGCGGCAGAAGGCAGAGTGGTGTGAACGGAGGAAGAGTGGTGTGAACCAGCGAGGCTTTCTGGGTGTGCTTTCTGGACAGATTAGCAAAGCGGTCCAGATCTTCCAGCTCTCCACTCTCACTGCACTCTAGGGGATTCGGCAGAACCGACCTCTGGCAGCTGCACCTTCCACTCCCCTCAGGCCCAGTCCGGGAGCCCAGGAGGAGGCGGGGCTGGTAAGGGGCGGGGCTGGCCTTTGTGGCCGGAGCCGCCCACAGCTCTGCAACTCTGGCCAGGGGCCGGACTACTCTGGGGACCCAGCCACCGAAGCGGCCTCAGCAGTAAGGAGGCAGTGATGGGGTGGGGCTTGGGCGGGGCCAGGTGAGGGCGTGGACAGCTCGAAGGCGGGGCGGGCAGGGCCCCTGGAGGCCCGCGGGGAGCTCCAGTCTTCGCGTTGCCCGCCCTTTAGACTCGAGCTTTTCTTGATCCGTCCCTTGGCAGGGCCTGGGCCGGCCTGGGGCTCATGGCAGCATCGGCGGCTCTGTCGGCGGCGGCAGCGGCAGCCCTATCGGGCCTGGCGGTGCGACTGTCGCGCTCCGCCGCGGTTCGCAGCTCCTACAGCGCCTTCTGCAAGGGGCTCACGCGCACACTGCTCACCTTCTTCGACTTGGCCTGGAGGCTGCGCATGAACTTCCCCTACTTCTACATCTTGGCCTCCGTGATGCTCAACATCCGCCTGCAGGTGCGGATCGAGTGAGCGCCGCTGCAGCGCCAGTGGCCAGGCCTGAGGGTCGCCCACTCACCTGCTCTGGGCCCGGCCCTCACCTTAAGAACAGTGGTGGCCCCAGGCCTCAGGGACGCGGCGAGGGGGCGGAAGCGAGGATGTCCATGCCGGTCAACTCTAGACCTTCACAGCAGGAGGGCAGACAACGAGCCTTGGCCCCTGTAGCAAACGGCCCGGTATTGCTCAGAAACTCAGTAAACAGTTCCTTTCCACCGGCCCAAGAAACTATTTGAGTTCGGCCGACCTGTTGCTTCATATTGGCCAAAGGGGAAAACCAGAAGGAAGGGATTCTGCTGCAGTCAGTTGATCTTCCAAGCCCAGAGCAGAAAGGTAGGACGCGACGGGCAGAAATGAGGGGGAGTGGGGGGTGTTGCCATGACATCTAAATGTGGAGGCGCCTTAGTGGTTTGGGGAAATATGAAAGGTACCCGGGCAAACCAGCCTGAAAAACTGTTGAGCCGAGCAGGGTAAAGGCTTGCTTAAGCCACAGACTCTCGCCTCCTCCCCAGCCACGATTCCGCCGTGGGGTGAGGGGCAGCAGCGGCCTCAACATCTTCCAGGGTCAGCCCAGCATCAGTAGACCAACAGCAACCTCCCCTTCCCGCCTCCAGTCCAGTTACCGCCCCTCCCTTTCCGCAGAGGCCCCGGTGGTGTCACCTGAACCCGGGGAATGAAGGGGAGGGGGCGAGGGGGGGCCCAGGGAAGGCTCCGGAGGAGAAAAGATGCCTCCACCCCTCTGGGGTGAGCATGGGAAGGATGCTTCTCTTCTGAGCCAAACCCCAGGGCTGTCCGCTTCTCTGTGCTGCACCAGGGCTCTCTGCAGTACCTGCACACCCCTTGCCAAAACTGCCCCCAACCTGAGGCCAGGGTACCAATTTCTGCTTGTTCCTGCTCTCCCTGGGCTCCCCTAGCCAGTATTTGAGGACAGTCTCTTGCAGCTCTACATTTGCATACAGGGACCAGTAGGAAAGGTGGTCTTCCCTTCCCCTCCCCCACAACCTTGCTCTTGCCCTAAGGCAGCAGACCTTGTTCCCAGGTGCTCCTACCACAGCCCTCCCAGGGCCACAGAGGCCCTTCCTCCAAATACCACTGGCCATAAGGAGCCCACTGTGTACCGTGTACCAAATGAGACCTCCTGGAGCAGACAGCAGCTCTCAGGCTGGGATTGGCAGAGTAGATGGAGGAGAGGATTGTAGAGAACACCCTTGGGGAAAACAAGGACCTCTCCAGGTGGCAAGGCAACTCTGAGGCCTCCATCTCTTTCTTTCTCTTCCAGGTACTGGCCTTTGTAGGTGGTCATTGCTGGTTCCTCTGGCCAGCAAGAGTCATATCCCTGCCCATGGGGCACACCTGGCTCTGGAGCTTCCTGGGGAGCATCTGAGTGAATGGCCTGGCCAGAAGAAGAGGAAGGGCCTTACCTGTAGAGGTACAACATGGGTGGGGCTCCCTAGTGACTGGCTCCTGACATGGGGAGGACCAGACATGTTCCCTGAGGACTCAGATCACCTAGGAACACTAACAGCAGTATCCTCCCCTCCTGATGATGGAGGAAGCAGGCTGGACAGGAGGAGGGACTTACCCTTATCACACAGGTGGGAGGTAGTGGAGCTGAGTCTGCCCCCTTGGTCCTGCAGGCCCCCACCTCCCTCCACACTCTTCTCTAAGACCTGGCATGTGGGAATTGGGACACAGGGCTCCCAGGCCACCTAGGGAGAGAGGGGTCAAGAAGCAAAGAATCTGGGGACCTAGCTTTCCTTCGAGCAGTATGGAAGGTCACAGGGGAGACCCAGGAGGACAGTAAGCAATATGAGATGGGCGAGAAGAGTCCCAGAAACTCCTGTGGAGCCAAGTTCTCACCCACAGTGCCTACCCTCCCCACTTGCTCTGCACTTGACCAAGGGATCCTCAGTGGTTGAGTGGCACAAGCTTCTCAGTTTGGTGGTGGAGTGGGGGTGATGGTGGCTGCATGGCTCCTGGGACATGATGTAAACAAGAGTGTTAAGGGATAAACCTGGGGTGGGACAGGGCTGGGACCCATGGCATGACCGCATCTCTCTGTCCCCAGGCTCAGCTCCCCATCCCCAGGATCACACAGGAGAATCTCATCTGCATGGGCTTGGATCAGTCCTGGGGATTCCAGGCATGCTACTAACAGGTGCACCAAGAGTGGCCCAGAGGGGAGCCTGACCCTTGCCCCCCCATTCCTGTCCCACATCTCTGGCACTAGTACCTGGAGGCCCATATTCTCAGTTCCTGGGACTTAAAACTGCAGCTGTCTGGTCAGCCCTGAGGCTGAGCAGCCCGGCCTCTTACCATCTGCCTTCCTCAGCTGCCCACTGGAGCCAGGATCCAACTGAAGCTCTCTGGCTGCCTCACCCCAGGATGGAGCTGGCTGGTGGCTGCCATGTGCCCCTGTGTTTGCCCACAGCCAGGGCCCAATGGTGTGCTTCTTTGTGCCAAGTGTCCTGCTAGCCCTTCTCATTAACCCCACCCCCATCCACCCTGGGCCCCTTGTCAGCCTGCTGATCCTATGCACAGATCTCAGGATGCCTCTGAGGGACAAGAGGCTTCTGGGCTGGAGGAGAGCAGTGGGGCAAGTCAGGGTCCTCCTTGGGTCTAATAAACAGATGTGGCCCTTTCCAACCCTGGTCTCACCATCTGAGTGACTGCATCCCTGGCTCCAGCCTCTTCCTGGGCCATCCAGGAAGGGAGGAGGAGGGCCGTCCTTGTGCAAGGGGCTTGGCCTAGGTCCAGGAGGCCACCCTCCCCACCCCACAGGGAGAAATGAGCCTCAAGGGTCCCTGCCCTCAGAGTCCCCACTGCAGGGAGCTCCCCACCCACCCAGGGGCCTGTCTTCAGTGGCTTCAGCTGGGGCTGTGCTGGCCCAAAGACTGGCCCTCAGCAGAGTGTTCCTGCCCCTGCTTTCTTACCCTTCCTGCCAGCAGTGGGTGGCTCAGGTGCTGCAGCTTCCCGCCTCCTCGCACCTACCACTGGGCCCTTGCTGCATGAAAGGGTCTCCATGCACTTTATTTGCAGTCTGTTTTCCAAGCAGCACTTCTACAAATTCAGACACCAACCGAAATGATTTCTTTTCTGTGTGTGATTAACTCTACCGGTCAGCACAGGCTGGTCAGAGGAATGTTCTTGCTTCTGGAGTTGTCATGTCTTATTGTTTGTCTAAGTTTTAAAAAAAAGTCCTTGATTTCATACACTGAAGCCCCGACTGGAGGTCTCCTATGTCTGGTGGGTGTGATGCAATGGCCCGGGAGGAGAGAAGCCCAGCGGTGAGGTCACTAGCTCTGATGGCCAGGAGCAGGCCCGGAGAAACCTCAGGGCTGGGGGTGGGAGGGCTGTGTCAGGGAACACATTGCCTGTTCAGAAGCTGAACCAAGTCCTACAACAACTCAGAATACTGTCCCAGGAAAATAGCAGGCAGCAGCCTAGCCTGGCCCAAGAGGTGGCCGTTTGTCCCCTTCACAACCTTTGTTCAAATGATCTAAAACATAAATCTTTTATTCCATTTTATGGCTTGGTGTTCAAGAGTGCTGAATTCACTTGAACCCCCAGGGCAAGCGAGGGTGAAGTAAAGCAAAACAGATGGTCTGTAGGTCATTTTGTATATCCCTGAGAGCCCTCTCCCTGCCTGGGGCCTCGCCCACTGACCCTGCCAGCCAGATGGCTGTTGGAGTCTTGAAGAAGATAAACCATGGGATCCAGAAGCCCACTTCCTTTCATCCCATCTTGGACCCCAACTCTGTCCCATCAGAGCTCCTCTCCCAGTGGGTCCCCAAAGAAGCCCAACCAAGGTCTCTGGAGCTGTAGGAGCTATAGGGGTTGGCCAACAGCAGAGGATTGGGGACCTGGGTGGCAGGGTGGGTTAGAGGAAGGCCCATGGGCCCCCAGAAGGAGGCATCCTGAAAACACGAAGCTATGCTCAGGCTGAGGACCACAGCCTTGGATTAGGGTCCCCAGGTCCGCTCTGCCTATTGCTAAGGGGTACCCAGAAGTCAGAGCACCTTGACAAGAAGGACCCTTCCAACAGTGCTGGTGGTGATGCCCTATGACATCTGCCTTCATAGGAGGGATGGAGCTCAGTCCCTGAGCTTCCCTCTCCTTTGTCCAGATGCTTCTGTTCAGTCCCTGATGATCCTGCCCCCACTACAGGGACCATCTCATTTGGCAGACCAACATAGGATATGATCAACCCAGAGCATGAGGCCTTGTGAAGAGGGAGGACCACCCCTCCATCCCTTCATCCCACTCTCTGACACCCTCCACGAGCTATAGGGGAAGATAAGCAGGCTGGCACTGTTCTGGTAAAGAACTGTACCCAGGAGACCAAAGGCCTGGGCTCCCACTGGTTTTAGGAGGGATAATTTGGGGTCTTAGTGGGCATTTAATGTGAAATCTGTTAAAGGTCATCATGTCTCACCTGGAGCAGCCTTGTCTCTAAGGAAAGGAAACCAAGTGAAGGGAGGTGACGATGATGAGAGGCTGCCATGTGTTGGGTACTGAGTTTGGTGTTTTGTATCACTGATCTCATAATCCCATGACCAGCTAACCGGTATCTCCATTTCACAGAGAGACCAAGGATGAGAACCCAGTCTGAAATAGATACCCAAGCATGAGCTCTTTTCTGGAACTTCCAATGCCCCCTTCCGGGGTGGAGAATTGGGCTGGAAGGATGGTGGGATGGCAAAGGAGGATTATGACCCTGTCCTTTTCTGCATGTGGTCCAGGAGACAGATAAGAAAATTAGGGCTTGGGTGTCAGATCTGGGGTCACTCTAAGATGGGCCCACCTATCTTCTCTCCTTCCAATCCCAGGAGACTGATTGGAACCTGAGCAACTGTGTCAGGAGAGAGCAAGCTAAACCCTCAGTTCCAGGGGGGCACTGGAGCAAATAATAAAATGGGAAATGAGGCTGGGCACAGTTGCTCACACCTATAATCCTAGCACTCAGGGAGGCCGAG